GGGGGGGGGGGGGGTGTCCTCAAACCACTTTCTAGTTGTGATGGGGTTACACCATGGGTCAGCTCTTAACCCATTTTTATTTGCCTTGGTGATGGACACACTAACACGCCACATTCAAGGGGAGGTGCCATGGTGTATGTTATTTGCAGATGATATTGTACGGATTGACAAGACGTGAAGCGGTATTAATGCGAGGCTGGTGGTTTGAAGACAGACCCTGGAGTTTAAAGGTTTCAAGTTGAGTAGGACCAAGACAGAATACTTGGAGTGCAAGTTTAGTAACAAAACCAATGAAGTGGACGTGGTCGTGAGGCTTGATAAACAAGTCATCCGTAAGAGAGATAGTTTCAAGCACCTTGGGTCTATTATCCAAGAAAATTTAGAGATTGACGAGGATGTTACACACCGTATTGGAACGGGATAGGTGAATGGAGGCTCGCATCCGGTGTTTTATGTGAGTAGATAAGAATGTGCCACCTAAACTTAAAAATATATTCTACAACGTGGTTGTTAGACCGACTATGTTGTATGGGGCAGAATGCAGTCAAGAACTTCCATGTGCAAAAGATAAAAGTTGCAGAGATGGATGTGCGTGTATATCAGGATTGATAAGATTAGGAATGAAGATATTCAGGCCAAGGTTGGAGTGGTCCCGATGGAGGACAAGATGCAGGAAGTGAGGCTTAGATGGTTTAAGCATGTGAAAAGGAGAAGTACAGATGCCCCACTAAGGAAGTGTGAGAGGTTGGTCTTGGTGGGTCTGAGAAGAGTTAGAGGTATGCCAAAAGAGTATTGGGGAGAGGTGATTAGGCAGGATATAGCGTTGCTTTAGCTTACCGAGTACATGACCCTTGTCATGAAGATATGGATGTCGAGAATTAAGGTAGAGCGCTAGTAGGTAGTCGAGAATGTTTCTTTCCAATGCCAGTAGTAGTGGTATTAGTTTTGTATTCTATTATTGTTAGATTTCTATTACTACATGTTGTTCCTTTTGCTTCATTTTCCTATTATCTTGTTCTTGTTACTGCTTGTTACTACTGCTTTCTTTTCATCTTTCCTTGAGCCGACAGTATGTTGGAAACAACCTCTCTATTTTCAAGGTAGGGGTAAGGTTTGCGTACACAATACCCACCTCAGACCCAACTTGTGGGACTATATTAGGTTTGTTGTAATCAAAAGGACCTAAACATGCTATATACTTGTTTCTATAATTCATATTCACTAAACAATCATATTTATGAACCTTCAAAAGTGAAGAAATATTATATATATATATATATATATATATATGAGTTTTGCTAACCTACTACAACCATGTAGTTAGTGGCGGAGTCAAGATTTTTAATTGGGGGGGG